GGGGGCACCGCGATGATTCACGGGGCCCCTCCTTGCTGTGGGAGCCGCTCTTTGAGCACTCCCTCTTTCGTCCGTGTGAAGGACGGTCGTCTACCTCCCGTGAAGTTAATACATCACCAAAACAGTCTCACCCGATAAATAAGTGGCGTAGGCCGCAAACATCGATTGCTGTGGGTTCGTAGGCGAAGTACCAGCAGCACTGCGATATGTGATGTGTGTCACAACAAAGCGGAGTTCTGCAGCTGCAAAAAATAAAACAAATATAACAGCAGTTGTTCCGCATATCTTTCCGAGGCCGCTGCTGCTTGCCATGCTTGTAGCACACAACGCGCATATGATGCTGGATCCGGTTGAGGGTTCAGCATGCAACAATCCCTGTGGTCATCGCAGTTATACTCTAGCACAGAAACAATGGTAGGGCTCATCATCATGTACGATATCTATACACGGCGGTGTTTTTGTTGTGTGCCACACGCGACAGGGGGCGCGTGCGGTGTTGGTCCGCATGCACCTGTGTTGCCAATGCCGTGCGAAGTGCCGTCAAGTCGAGACACTTCAGTAGGACGCTTTGCTTTTGTAAACCTACCTTGGTTTCGAGCTTAATGTAAACTTTCACGGGTGTGGGGTTGTTGATCCACACCCAATGTCTAAACGAATCCGACTGCTGTTGAAGAAAAAAAATGGTCCCGTCACCACCGCTGTGTGACTCCGCCCGGTGCGAGCTGCTAGATTTATACATTTTTCTGCGGTGTCGAGATGCACGTCGAACGTGCGTGTCACCGCTGCTATCCCCGGGGGGCGCGGCGGTGAGAACGCCGCGATGTCGATGGCGCTGGAGGTAAGCAGCGCGTACAGGCCCGGGTGCGGGTGGGCCACGTCCCGAATGATGTGGTCTATCTAGCTCGCCCCCCGTCATGACGATAGGCGAGAAGGTAGCGCCTCGCATTTGGTACAGGGCCGCTTGACCGTCCTTCTCCCACGTGCGGCCCTCCAGCTTTTGGGTTTCTTTCAGCCGATGGGCATTGTATAGTCTACAGGCGTGGCCCCCGGGATGCTCGCGAGCTGTTGGTATCCCTGCGGCGCGGCCGACTGGTGGTAGTGCTGGCTGGGGTAGGCCTGAATGAAGTTGTTGGTGTTGATACTGTTGTTGCAGCGGTTGCGGCTGCTGCTGCTGGTGAGGTTGTTTCTGCTGCTGCTGCTGCTGCTGCTGCTGCTGCTGCTGCTGCATCTGCTGCTGCTGCATCTGCTGCTGCTGCTGCTGCTGCTGCTGCTGCGGCGGCGGCGGCGGCGCTTGGGCCAGGGGGAGGGCTACGGACTGGCTATTGGAGCCGCCCTGGGCATTGTTGTGGGCCGCGGCGCCCTGCGCGGGCTGCCGGTTGCCGGTCAAGTTTACCACCACCTCCTGGAGAGACCGTATCTGTAGTTGCTGGCGGTGGCCCTGATTGACGAGCTGTTGTAGCAGCGAGAAGACGTTCGGGTTGTTCCCGGCCCCATGCTGCTGCTGCTGCTGCTGCTGTTGCTGTTGCATCAGCTGAGGTTGGGGGGCTCCGGGAATCATGGGCGGCGGCGGAATTGCTGCCGCCAGACCGCCGCCGTTTTGTTGCTGCGGTTGACCATGCTGGTGTCCCTGCTGCTGCTGCTGCTGCGCCTGACCCTGCTGCTGCTGCTGCTGCTGCTACAGCTGCGGCTACNGGCTCCGGGAATCATGGGCGGCGGCGGAATTGCTGCCGCCAGACCGCCGCCGTTTTGTTGCTGCGGTTGACCATGCTGGTGTCCCTGCTGCTGCTGCTGCTGCGCCTGACCCTGCTGCTGCTGCTGCTGCTGCTACAGCTGCGGCTACTGTTGTTGTTGTCGCTGTTGCTGCTGCCTGTTTTGGTCGTCCCCGCCGCCGGCAGCCGAGTTTGGAGGACTGCCGTCCCCCGAGTTGCCTGGAATGGCCGCCGCGGCGCCCGCCGCGGCGCTCGCGCTCGCCGGTTGCCCATCATTGGCGTCCATCCCAAAATCGATCAAATCCTAGAAGGCACTCCGTGTTTGCTGCTCCTCAAAGCGGCTATCTCTGCTACTCCTCTCCTTCTCTCAAATGCACTTGCTGCTTGTCTCTCGCCCAGCGAGAGCACCAAAACTTTCTGCCACCAGGGCTGTCTCTACTTTTCTTCGATCCCCGCTTTTCCGAATTCCAACACTCCTCCACAAACCACAGATTCAAATAGTCTACGTACTGAATCTTCACGTTTTTTTTCGGTCTTCGGCAGTTTATTTCTTTTTGAAAATAAAATCTTCAAGTAAATCGCTTTGCCAAGCTATTTGCCGAATAATATTATTTGATACTCCTCTTATAAGGGAGGTATTTGTAAAAGTCTTTCCTGCGGTCTTGTGGGTGTGAAAGCGCTTTTTTGTGTGTGCGAGCGCTGCTGCTGCGAAATAATGTGTACTTTGCTGATTGTTCGACTGCCTCCACCCCCGATGCACGCGCGTTCTCCGGTGTGTGTTGTAGGTTCCACCCCGTAAGGTACAAAGTCGGGGAAGGCTATCGTGCCAACAGGCACCAAGGTGCCCGGCGCGAGGCGCTCCAACTCGCGAGAAAATACGACGGTGGTCGCCAGCATCGGCGCCGACGGCCACACCTACAACCCTATCATCATCTACAAAGGCCAGCGTATGCAACCCGCTTGGATCCAGGAGAAGAACGGCGTCCCCGATGCGAAGTACACCGTCACGGAGTCATCCTTCATCCAGATCCACGTGTTCCTCGACTACCTTCGAGACCTCCGCGAACAGCCCGATGCACGCGGCTTGAAGGGCAAAGTTGTCCTTGTGCTCGACGGCCACCCCTCGCACTCGACCTTCGACGCTATCAGCTTGGCCATCTCTCCGGACATCGACCTCTTCCAGCTCCCGTCCCACACATCGCACATCACCCAGCCCTTGGGCGTTGGTACGTTCGGAACCTTCAAGAAGGAGCTCACCAGGGTGCTCGCGGCCTACCCACTGAAAATCGGGGGGCGGAGTCCGGTGAAGCGCGACATGGCTGGCGTGCTTGCGGAGGTATGGAGAGGGAGCTTCACGCCTGCGAATAACATGGCGGCGTTCAAAGGGGCGGGCTTGTGGCCGGTGAACATGGAGAAGGCCATCAACCGACTACACGGCAAGAGGAAGCAACGGGAGAATGACCGCCCTATTCGTGAAGACCTCGCCGTCGTTGCCTCCAAGAAGCAGTTCGAAGAAGATCTCGGCCACGCTGCCCTCCTGGAGCTGAAACGATAGGGAGTGATGATCGAGGGGCTCCGCGTGAGCACTGTGTTCCCCGGCGGGCTCACGCGCCTCACCAAGCGCTTCAAGTCTTTCGCTACCGTTCGGGCGGGCGGGGGAAGCCCGAGGGCGGTCTCCTGTCCGCCGAAGGACACCTTGCTAAGGTCAGGAAGGATACAAAAAAGAGAAGGAGGCAGCTGAGAAAGTAAAGGCAGACAACGCCAAGGTCCGTACAGAGGCAAGGGCAGCGAGGGAGGCCAATCTTGGGCAGGGCGGCGGGCGGGGAGGCGGGTGGGGCGGGCGGGGAGCTGGAGGGCGAGGCGCAGGGAGGAGTGGGGGGCGGGGAGAGATGAGCGTGGGGGATGGGCAAAACGGTACGCGGACGGAGGTCGGGGGGCGCGGCTGTGGTAGGGGTCAGGAAGGGCGAGAAGGGCGCGGCCAGGGACAGGGTGGCCGGGGCCACCCCGCTGGTGCTCGCGGAGAGGGAAGAGGGGCGGGTGGGCGTGCTCGCGGAGAGGGAAGGGGGGCTGGTGGGCGGGTGGGGGCCTGTCCTCGCG